AATAACCATGTGAGCTGGAGATCTGCATGTGAAAAGTAGAGCGTGTGCTTGAATGATACTTTGTCCATGTGAATTATATGTGCTGCCATTTAATTATAGCCTTGAATACAGTAAAATTACCTTCTAAAGGGCTCAGACATAGAAAATGCATAGGAACATAAGTGATGGGCTCTCTACTCAACCATAGCTAACAAGTGCCTAAAATTGAAATACCTGTTCAAATTAATCAAAGCAATAGGACTTGATTTGATTGGGTATCTTTTTACACCAATACACTATTCAGTATTTTTAACCAAAATGTAAAATACATAATTTTGTGTTACATGAAATTTAGTGATTGGTCTTCAGTGGCCCTTCTTGATTTCCTGACAGGTTGTAAATAAGTAATACTTGGATGCAATCTGCTGTGGATTAAACTTTTCAATGCATTCCTGTCCTGTCTGCTACAGAATTAACCTTGAGCTTCAACTGCACTTATTAGCTTTTATATATATTTAAGGGCTTTACCACATGCAAGGGGGAAGTAATTACAAAATGAACTGTATCTTTCAATCATACATAAACCCCTGACCAATACAAATTAGATGTGTTAAGATGTAATTCAGTGAACACAAGGTTTATAGCAAATGAACACGAACTAGTCTTCTTGTTCAGCTTCTGCTTTTTATATGCCAGTGTGCATTGTGGGATAAGCAGTGAAGGATAGTTGGAGGGTATGAATGCATTGCAAAGACATGATAAAAAGAATGTTGTATCAGACTCATTTAGTATGTTCTTCCGATAGAGGCAGCTTTTGAATAACAGAGTGTATTTATTAATTAGCACTAAGATATTAACATCTCATTAATCAGTATTAGGATTTCTGAGGACCATTACTGTTCAGTTATTAGCTCAGTGAAATAATCTTGTGCCCTGCTGCAAGGATTTTAATATCCCATCTATAAACTTGTATCTGCATTGAGCAATGATGTAATCCAGTAAGTAGGTATGTTTTTCCTGTGACAATCGAGTTCTGATTACTTAATGCAAAAGGACCTTTGTTGTTCAAATGCATCCCCGTTTCTAAATTCTTAGTAACTTTACATGTTGCAATTTACACTTTAAAAATGACCTTATATTCAGCTTGGAAATATTTAAATATAAACACAGTACTACTGGTGCAGATCACTTTGTTTTAATGGAATTTTATTTATCCTACAATGGCAAGGTACTTGATCTATTCCAAACTCAAGAACTGGACTGATAACTAAAACTGTACTTTCAGAGAAGATACATTTTGCTTGTGGCTTACCATTCCTGGTAGCATTGCATCAGTATGTTAATTGTAAAATTTATTGTATAGTATTTAACCACTGAATTTTTCTTTCTTTTATGTTGTGCTTTATGTGAACCACTGGTGAAGGTCCCATTTTCCTTGGATAATGTGTAGTTATATGAATCTGTTTTTAAATGTACAGATATTTTGCTACAAAATTGGTGCAGTTTTTTATGGTTTTTACACTTCTTTAATTCCCACTTTAGCCTCTGGGTAATATTGTAAATATTGTTTAAAAAAATGCATCAGCCTGTGCTATACAATCTGAATGTTATTTTAACTTATAGTTTTGTTTTTTATATTTAACTAAGTGGATAGTTTGGGGCTCAGTTACCACACTGACTTCTGCTTACCTATTTACAGAAAGTTTACATTAAAACTGCCACCTATTCCCTCATTTACAGCAACGTGTACTCAACATGCAAAAGAGAACATGCCAAGATTGCCTCTTTCTTCACAGATAGTGACAAAAGAGTTTTAATCGATAGAAGAAAAATAATTTGGCAACATAATTTAAGTACATTTGTTAGTAAAATAGATAAAACACGTACGCTCAAAATCTGATAGCTTACACAGCAAATAATATCATACTCAAGGACTGTAATATTGGCATGTTCTCTTTGTTTTTCTAGTAATAGACCTGCTTCTTAGCAATATTAGAAGTGTTTTATAAAAGCAGTTCTTGTTACTTTTCTGGTCTCTTCATGGCATATGATCAAATAAACTATTTACACTACTATATGGTAATGCCTATTTCTCTTCTTTGGTATGTTTATACTGCACTTTTGAAGAGGTTGCTAGCAAATGAATCACAAGTAGGATTGAACTTAATTGTTACAGAAATCATTTGTCACTAATATCTGCAGTTTATTATCAGAACCCGAGGTGGGGAAGATCACAAATTCCAGCTTCTCTCATGAACCACACTAAAACTAAACTCTCTCATTCTATGATTCTGTATTTTTATTTTTAAGAGAAACACTTCACACCACTACCTGCATAACCAAGCCACACAGAAAACTATCCAGCCAAACCATTGAGATAGTAAATTCAGGTGGAGTCAAGGCACCTTGGCACCTAAAACATTGGCTAATCTTCTCCAATCAAATCCGTGGAATAAAGATAAAGTTCTGTGTGCTCTTTAAACTAAGGGTTCCTTTTCACGGGAGAGTGTATTTCTACACTTTCTACAGTATTTTCCTCTCAAAACACAGGATATCTGAGTAAACCCACATTTATTTAACATTATAAATGCTTTACAGCCTATGTCCTGACACCCCTCAGTTCACAAAACTCATTAAAATCTTCCTTTATGAAGGGGGAATACATTTTTAATTTCCAAAAAACAAATATTCTTTGGCTTATAAAAGATCCCAAATGCTATGGGTTTTAACGTAACCATTATATATATAAATGGCCATAGAGGATCAGACCAAAGATCCATCTAGCTCATGTCCTGCTTTCTGACATTGGCCAAATGATAGGTGCCCCAGAAGTTATAAACAGAACAGGTAATCGTCAAGCGAACCCAGCCATGACAAACAGAAAAGTAACAGGAAAGAGCCACTCAGGCAGTACGTGTCTTTAGACTAGTTGGTATACCTTCTCTATAAAGCAGTACAACTTTGTTAGACAAACTAGTATAAAAGTCCTAGCTCCATACCTTATTTCAAGTTAACGTCATCTGTGCTGTGGGGTTATACTGCTTTATACCTGTTTTTAAATCAATTAGTACAAAGTGTACTCTAAAGCAAGGAAGTGAGATTTTATTAAGGATGCATCACTACTCTGGGAAATGCAGTCACTATACAATATGGTTAATTTTATAAACACTTCTATTTTTCAATGTAGGTGTATTGTAAAAAGAAAACACACCTTAAATGTTTATGTCCTTGGTCTAACATCCGTGATAAATGTTTCATATCCTACACCTTTTGATTAACAAACATTTCTTATTGCAATACAACTAATACATCTTTAGACACCATCATATAAAAGAAACTTTGCTTTTCTCAGCACCTTCATGCACAGTTCAAATTGCTCATCGAGTATAAGGTTTGTATTTACCAAGGTTCAGCACCCTTACTAGCAATCCATAGCCTGTGAACATATTTAATTAGTATCCTGCTAAGAAAAAAAAATTACAACTCCTAAACAATTTTGCCCCTATGACTTTTTTTTTTTAATTCCCCCATCCCAAAGGATTTTCAATGTTAGGCAAACTCCATTATAAGAAATGCACTGCAAAAGAATAAAAAGGTGCAACTAGATATGCAACAATATTTCTGCAGCAAAACTTAATCTGCTAAAATAATAAAATGGCAAACAAACTATTTATGGTGGTGGTAATTAAATTATTAAATTATCACTTCCCCCCTTCCATTTATGGCATAATGTGGCAACGCTCAAATTTAAGAGAATAAACTGATCTTGTAACCAAACCTCAATTGAAAAACCAGTCTTTTTTGAAGGAGTGGACGATGGAAAGAATTCATTTCCCAAGATCAGAAAACAAGCTGTGCATTGCCAAAATGGATATAAATGAGAATGTATTTCCTACTGGGATGGTTTTTGCAAGATCTGATTACAAAATACAAAAAAGATACATTCCATTAGAATACTTTACAGTTACATCTTTTTATTTTTAATGAAAAAATAAAGACAAACCTTGTAAAAGTAATATTTACTTAGAAACATGTTTCTTTGTGTAAATTATGCTAGGCAATAAAAGTATTTTACACAAATTCTAATGTGTTTTCAAAACCATTATGACCCATCAAAATTTCTAAACTAATTTGCAATTTCGATATTTCCTCACATTTTTGTCAAACAAAATATTTGACATGATAAACTATGTACTATACCCCCCAAATTTTGTGTTTGTTTTTCAGCACAGATTTAACCTAATTGTTAACACTATCGATGTGGGTTTTTTCAATACAAACACAGGAAAGTGAATTTTACAAGATTAGCAAAAAATATATATATTTAAAATCTAACTGATTTTATATCCCCAAAGACCCATGATCAGCGCTCCATTCCTGACATGCAGAATAACCTGCAACTTCCCACACTTTGGAGAGTTGCTAGGCATGGTGCAGAAATATGGAACAGACCCATTGCTAGCATTTTAGTTCATTTGCAGTTTTCTGGATATTCAGCATGAAATATTTTACTAGATATAAAAGACAATTTATTAGAATCCTTTACCTCAAACCTCTTCAGTAATGAATGATTAACAGGTATGTGATGGATGACTACTGTTTGTTATGTTGGATGTGTCTACCAAATAGTCTTAAATACAAAAATCTGCTGCCATTTCTTTCTTAACATGGTAGACCAAATATTTCGCTAAACAAATGTTTTCTTTCAACTGAAAAGTTTGTTTCAAAGAGCAACCTTAAAAAGTGTGACACACCCATCCTACTGAAAATATTCTGTTAATGCTGCAATTCTGGGCATTGATCTTAAATGTTTGGGCTTTTTAGGCATTTGTGTATTGGTAACATTTATCAGATGTAGTTGATAAAAGGGATTAATATATTGAAAAGGAAGCTAAACTCTGCATGGTCTTCAAAATAAAAATTGAGTAAACAAGTTGCTTAATTCCATCAATCATAGATAGCAGTTATTTCTGTTACAGCTGTACAGAGTATTTAAAACTAGAAATAAATACTAGTACACGCTAGAGGACAAAATTTAATTGATAAAAATGTACAAAAATATTCAAATCAGAAATGTTTCAGAATGTGTACCACAGTAGTCAATACTTGTCACTGAATAGGGAAAGTAGAACTTCTCCTTGAAGCAAAATTGGTCAGAGGCTACCCCAAAAAAGGCTGATTTTTTAAAAAATACTAGTTTTTTATTTAAAGAAAAAAGTTTAGATCAGCATTGATTTTTAACATTAATATTGCAACTGCTTTTTAAAATTTGGTGGTACATTCTTCAGCAGGTTCTTAAGGCAACATATTGAAATTAATTTACAAGCTGATTTTATGTTAAACTTTCTTATGAAGATAAATGCTGAAAAATGCCCTCAACCATTTTTTTAGAGTGTGTGTGTGTGTGTGTGTGTGTGTGTGTACCTACCTCAGTTTTTACTTTAATAAAAATGGTGGCTATTATACAGCAGTGTCCTCTAATGCCACTGTAATGAAGGGCCTAGCAGATATCCATCATAAACACCTATCTGCAAGGGTTTAAAACTTTACCATAAAAATTTACTCCAAGATGAAACTTGACATAGAAAGTCTCAGCCAGGAAGTCAAATTTTTTGTTTAATACAATTATCAAAACCATAAATTTGGCCAGTAACAGTGCACAAAAAAGCAATTTTTGTTTCTGATGCTTTTCTGTACTACTGTAAATCAAAAAACAGATTCATTATTCCTTCTCCATTTCCCTCTGTCTGCCCCAAAAAAATAATTAAAAAAAAAAGCAAAAACAAACAAACAAAAAACCCCAAGCACGCGGACAGTTAAGCTACAAGAAACTACATTTTTAATTTTTCCAAAAAGGAATTTTAGCTTGTCTACACTGGCCTGTAAAAACAGGTTTAGCTCCTTTCTGGGAAGAACTGCGCTTAAGACATGGATTGCCAAAAAGATGCTAATACTTTTCTTGGCCAGAATAGACAGGACCCAGAGTCAGAAGTGAAACAGCTTCCATTCATCATGTGCCCTTCCAAAGAGCTGTAGGATGCATGTAATATATATGCTATCTAGCAAGTCAAGAACAGAACTTCAACTCTGAATTTCCTGTTTTTCTAGATTCCATGTCAGGCCCCATAATGGTATTACTTGAATGCATTTCTTTATGCACTATCATTAAAACCCACTGTTATTTCAACAATGGAACTCAGAATATCAGAACTCATATCCCGAATTAGACATCAGTTTTTTATTAAATCCTACTGTAAATGTATTTGGTATAAATAATATTCTTATTGATCTTCATCCAGTTGTTCCAAGAGGGTCCTTCTCTGTTTTTCTAATTCCCCTTCGCTCAGTTCACTGCCAGATGTATCCCAATTACCCTGCAAAAAATTGTAATGATTATACCACCACCACACTGTAATTTACCCCCATGTGTTCCAATATCTTTTTCTGGCTTTTATTAGAAAATATAGCCAGAAAAATCAAGGGAATAAATTCCATAAAGGAACTGGCAGGTGAAGCAATATAATAAAAGCATTTGTTGAATTCTAATAGTACATCCCATGGTGCAATATACTTGTATGCAATTCTCTCAGTGTATGTCTACACTACAGAGTTTTGTCAGAAAAACAACTTTTTCCAACAAAACTTGATTGCAGTGTGGACTTTCCTCATGTTCTTCTGCAAGAAAATCGAAAGAACAGAGGGGTTTTTCCGGCACTGGTAATCCTCATTCTACAAGGAAGAAGCCATCTTGCGAAAGAGCTCTTTTGCAAAAAGGACTGTGTGGACAGGGGGAAGAGGGAGTTCTTTCAGAAGAGGAAAGGACAAAGCACAGGTGCCCTGGTAGCCATTCCATCCACAGCAATCACAGCTTACATGCGAGAGAGCATCCATTCAGTCTGGACGATGTATTTCGGAAGAAGTTTTTTCGGAAGATCTCATCCGAAAAAAGCTTCTTCCGAAAAAAGCCTAGTAGTCTAGACATAGGCTCAGAAGATAAGCATCCCAAGGAGGGTCTACATTAGATCTGTCAACTTTTTCATCATTAGAACCAATATTTGTAGCAACTGTGAAAGCATTAGAGTAGACAATGTTTTAGAGGGAAGCTTGTGTTTTAACCACCATATTGTCTAACCCTGTACTGAGACTAGACATAGCCCATGTTGTGCAGACTGACTGGCAAGATTTTTCGCAAAAGCAGAACTTGCCAGCTGTCTACACTGGCCGCATGAATTTCCACAAGAACACTGACGATCTCATGTAAGATTGTCAGTGTTCTTGCGGAAATACTATGCTGCTCCCGTTTGGGCAAAAGCCCTCGCACAAGAGGGCCACTGTAGAGAACGCAGTATTGTTTTGCGAAAAAAGCCCCAATCGCAAAAATGGTGATTGGAGCTTTCTTGTGCAAAACTGCATCTAGATTGGCACAGACACTTTTCCGCAAAAAGTGCTTTTGCGGAAAAGCGTTCATGCCAATCTAGACGCTCTTTTCCGCAAATGCTTTTAACGGAAAAACTTTTCTGATAAAAGCATCTGCGGAAAATCATGCCAGTCTAGACGTAGCCATGGTGTTTAGCATTACACCTCAGCAACAGTTTTCTCCAAAATAAATAAATAAATAAAAATATGGCAATACTAATAAAATATCTTCAAATTTATGTCAGTTTCAATTCTTTTGACTGAAACACTTTCCAAACAGAAGCATTTTTAGTTCAAAACGTTTTTCCTATAAAAATTTTAATTTTATTAAATAAAACCTTTTAAAATTGACACAATGAAAATGAAAAATTTTGATTGTGTCAAAACACAGTATTTTGTTACCTAAAACAATTCTAATTTGCCAAAAAATTATTGGCTTGCCCAGAAATCTATACCCTTTCCCTCTCTCCCCAAATTGACCAGCAAAATTAAAAAAATTAATTATTCACTCAGAACAACCACTATCTACATGAATGCTTTTGCCATTAGTCTACCAGCAGTAACAAGAATTGGCAATTTTGAGCAAAAAAGGCTGGCCAATTAGCTACTCTTGGGTCCATGCTTCTAATAAAATATATCCTCCTTCCCATAGGATGTATGGTTGGGATTTTTAAAGGCTAAGTGAGTTATATGCCAAAATGGGTTGTGCGGGAGGACATAACTGATGGTATTGTAAGATGCTCTCTTCATAGGAGTCAACAACGTTGAGTTTGTGAGCATTTCTCACTAAGTTACCCAACTCCCTTAATCTCTCTTGAAAATCCAGTCAATTTGTAATTTGGAGAATATATAATCTGAATGGAGGCTTCAAATAGAATGCAGACTCTCCAAGAGCTTGCAACAACATTATTGGCCTCCGAAAAGTCCAAGAACTATAGAACTTGGCTCCATTAGCACTTTCTTCCACCAGTGGTCTAGATCTAGTGCAGCTCTACCATTGCTATCTAGCAACAGTGAAAAAAAGGACAGCTATACCCACAGAGACAAAAGACTGCTCCATCTAATTTTTGTCAGGATCTAGACCAAGTTAGTCAATGGGTAGGTGGTGGGCTAACTCCGCATTACCAAATACTTTAGAATGGACTTCAAAATCTTCTCCCTCTACCAATCACTTAAATGTTTTTATTTTCTCTGGAGCCCAGACACGGACCTTGACCAAAAAATGTGGACCCCCCCAAAAAAAAAATCTACTCTTATTCCAGACAAAAAACCCAACAATAGTGTTTAAGCATGTTTATAATTGTAACATGAGCCATAAAGATTATGGCCCCGAAACTCAAATGTTTTGCTACTTTCCTTAAAAATCAGAGTATTTCACTTTTATTTTTGGGATTTGGTTTTGATGATAATCATTAAAATACAGTTTTTAAATAGGAATGTGGTATTTACACAAAATCATGTGCAGAATTACTAAGCTATACAGACCTCCCAAAACACGCACTAACAATTTTAAATCTTTGAGGACGGTTAAAGTCTATTTATTATATGCCAAAATCATTCTAAATAAATCCTTAGGATTTCATACATTAGCAAGCTATTTTTTAATTAGTTGTATATTTTATGTGGATCTGTAAGCTACTATATTGTACTCAGCCAAAATTTAAAAGACTCCAAACCCACAGACAAACAAAAAGAAACCAAGAAAGCTTACAGAATCTTTTCCAGGGCGTTTTTTAGGTGGAGGAGATTTGTGCTTTGATTCAGATCTTTGTCTAGGTCTATCCTTTTCATTCTCTCTCTCTTTTTCTTTTTTATCCTTTTCTCGTTCAGTATCAGATTCTGGTGAATCCTACGAAAATAAAATGAACAAATGGGAAAAAATACTTAGTTTCAGAATATTAACTTTATTAATTTTATTAACACTTTGTGTAATGTACACAGTGAGTTCACATATCCCAGTACAACTGAGCTCTGCAAAGCTCCATTATTAAGTTACGTTTAAGCAAACTGGTTTATTTAACATGTTCTTGTTTAGAACTGACTAGCAAAATTTCATTAACATGGCAGAAGGAAACAAATACAGACAAATGCATACAGAAATGATTTCAAAAGATAGCAACAACTAAAATTGGCAGAGCAAAACATAACCTATTTTTGTACTTTTTAATTATATCTACCAAACATTAGGTCACACTAGATGTTAAGAGCACTGAGTAGAGCCCTGCAGTGAGACTGGGTCCTGTGGGTGCCAAAAGACCCACACAAGGCTCTACTGGACTATTTTTTACCAGTTAGGTATTTATGCAAAAGTCATCTATCCAATACGATTTTTGCAAAGGGGTGATGGCATATTTCTTGGAATGACTGCACAGCAACACCTTTGTAGCTAGCTGTGGAAGAAGTCATGTCTGCACACACTTGGTGTTGTGGCAATATTAATTATGCCAAATTATTAATTGTTTTATTATTTAAATCTAAATAAATACAACTGAAATGTTAAAACAACATTCCTTTCATACTGGCCCCTGGGCCCACCCGTGGAAGTTAGCACATAATATAATTCTGGTGATTCAGCAGCAGTCAGATTAAGTCATACTCATAAGGCTCCTCATTTGCAGTCCATGCCTGGGATAGTTTAAGGCAGGTGCCTATGGCCATTTCTGAACCCACTAAAGCCCCATCTCTGAAAGAAGCCCCAGGGCAGAAACCCCTACCAGATCACCATGAACTGAGAGTACCATGGGGAGAAGCCCAAGCTCTCACTAGAGCAGATGAAGGATGGACATCCCGAGCGTGGGGTGGAGAGGCACAGGGGCAGATGTGCCCAGGTGAGGAAGCCCTCATCTACAGCAGGAGGGAATGGGGCCAGAGGCCAACTTCCTGCCAGGAGTGAAAGCCCCCTGCTAGCAGAAGCCACTGCAGGAGGAAAACCTGAGCTCCTCACCTGACCCTGGAGCTGTGGCAGTAGCCAAGTGTTAGGAGAGGGGACAGTGTTCCCTATCACTTGTGTGGCTACCCAGGAAAAATTCAAATGCTGCCCAGCTGATTAGCAGACAGCCCACAGGCACTCAAAGCTGACAGCTTGTGTTCCCATCAGCACATGCCCTGGTGCACATCATAAAATTTATTCTGCACATGGACAGGAAACAGAGGGAACACTGGAGGGCGGTGAGAAAGGTAGACAGAAACAGAGCCCAGCTCCTGGGCTGCTGCAGCATACAAGTGATGATGTATCACTGTCATGCAGGGAAAGACAACTCCCTTCCTTCTCCTCAGTACGGTCAGAATAGCAGTTAGGAGCAGCAGGGGATATGAGATTTTATAGCAGAGGGCTAATTTCCAGATTGGTGACACATTTTTCAGAGCTGTGAAATTGGTAGGTCTTCATTAGAGAAATGGTTTACTTTAAAGAGTGTGTTTGGAGAAAAGAACGTTTACTTACCTGTAACTGTTGTTCCTCGAGATGTGTTGCTCATGTCCATTCGAAGTAAGTGTGCACACTGCGTGCACCACGTCTTCCGGAGCGTTTTCCCTAGCGGTACCCGTACCGCCGGCAGGGCGCCCCCGCCATGGGGAGGCATAAGTACCCCCGCCGGCG